AAAAAGTTTAAAGTAGAATTATATAAAGTTTAAATGCTATTTACATATAAAAGATAGTATTTAGAGATTGAGAAATCACGAAAATCACAAGAAGATGCACTGTCACGTAAGCCATGCTACCTTCTTCATTTTCAGCAGAATCAACAAACAGTACCTAAATTAGTAAGGTAGTAAAAGTATTCTAAAATTATTTAGAATCATGGTAGCAACCATCAGAAGAATCAAAAGGAAAGTTAAAAACAGTTATGTCTGCTGAGTAAGATTTAGGAGCATGAGCATTCAGAGAAAACTCTACTTTTCAACTGAAACCATTCTGTACTCCTTGCAGTTATTGCCCTTTCCTACCATATGTAGCTGCTACATTTACAATGAACAGGTATTGAAGTAAACACAGAAGAAAGAAAAATGGATTCCCCTTCACTTTGTTACCTTTGTTCTTCAAATTAAACAAAAGAGCACAAGAAAACAAATCAGCATCTGTAAGGCATTCAGTGGAGTCCCCTGAAGTGCCGGGGAGGTGCTGGGCCACAGCCACCAAACAAGGTAGACCTCCAGGACCTTACACCCGCAAGCTGCAGGCCACAACAGTCCTGGTCCTCCCTACCACTGGTAAAGGACTCTGCACCTCACAGAGCTCACAGGAATGAGAGAATATGGTGAACGCTGCAAAAATGCAAACAGAGAAAGGCCAATCGTGATTATCATTTGATATGCGGAATAACCTGACACTAAAAATCAAAAAACCAAATGATTATAATATAGCTCTGTGCAGCACCTCATTCAATCCTTACAGCTCTGACAAGTAAATTCTTTCCCTTTCCCCATGAGAAAGCTAAACAAAACAAACAAAAAAAAACAGAAGCTCTGAGTATGATTTGCTTGGCCAGGGTCACCAAGCCAGTAAACTAGAACCTGTATTTGGCCTTCTTACATATATATATATATATAAAAAACACACACACACTCACACAGAGTGTGTGTACATATTATAATGGCTCACATATAATATACATTATATATTACATAAAAATAGAATAAAACATATATATTTCTTACACTATACCACTTGTCTCTAAATCTGAGCTTAATAATAATTTTTTTTTTAAAGTTCAATCTGCATCTGAATATCTACTGTAACTGAGGTGGACCTAAATGCTTTACAAATGCCATTATATGTCCCCATCATAATTTGGCAAAATTTAAACACAGTCTTTGCCAAAATAAAGCTGAGTGAAAAATACTGATAATTAATGACCCACAATGCTTAAGAAACACTCCCAATTTTCACAAGTAGCTAAGAAATACAGATTCAGATATTTCTGAGCAAACCTATAAGAGGCTTCTCAGATGGCACAGTGGTGAAGAATCTGCCTGCCAATGCATGAGACATGGGTCTGATCCTTGGGTGGGGAAGATCCCCTGGAGCAGGAAATGGCAACTCAGTCCCATATTATTGCCTGGAAAATTCCATGGGAGCCTGGTGGGCTACAGTCCAGGAGATCACAAAGAGTCAGACATGGCTGAGCATGAACACAACCCTATAGGGCCTTTCATTAAATTTACTTTGACACTGCCAGATTTATGGCTCTTTACAAGTTTTGAGCCTGGGGAACAGTCAAGAGCATGGGAAGATAGGGTTAACCACCCAGAACCTGCTCCCACAGTCAGTCTTAAGCCCCTCTCTTCCACAGGCAGTATTCCCCACTGTGTCTCCTAAAACAGGATGGCAGAGACGGTACAGGCTGTAGAAATGCAAAGCCATCTTGCTGTCAGACCTAGGTTGGCTGACTATCAGTTCATTAAGATGGTAAACTAAAATTTGAAGTTAACTACAAAATTCAATAGCTCATCTTTGGAAACAAAATCAAAGCACAGCCTATTCGGTGGCAATTTTGCTACACTAAGCTAAGCCAGCAAAGGAGTTAACTTTTAATTGAATTCCACGGATGACTCCAAGAACACATCACTGTTGATCTGTCTGTCAAGCAGAAAGACTGACCATCCTGACAGCGGTTTCTTGCAATGGCTCAGCAGGTCCTTTCCTGCAGGGGAATGTGGGCAAGGAACACAGACATCTCGCGGGTGAGCCTGGACTTGTGCCTTATGTGCAGAAGAATGCATGACTGACTTCTTCATATTTTTGGCTAATTTTACTGAAAGCAACAAAAAAGAGCCACAGAAGAGCAGTGAGAAGGCGGCACTGCCACAAAACTAGCACAGTGTGTGGATCGACACTGAGCAAAGGGGATCCTCTCTTACACAGGTTTTAATCTGCAGTTGGGTGAAGCAGCCCCAGGCGTGAAACACCTGCAGTAAAGTAGGCTGAGTGCCTGTAACGACCACCAGAGCCCCAAACAGCATCACCTGCCCCAGCAAAGTGCCATCAGCTTTTACACAGGTGGGCTCAGTGACACCGATGACGCTCATGTGGGCCTGTGCTGTCAACTAAGGAGTCTGACATGCAGATGGACTGCGCTGTGGTTTAAATAAAGGCAAACAAGTAGAGGGGGAAATTATCTGGCTAAGGGAGCTAGGGCAGGGAGGATTAACACATGTATCCCAGCCCAGAAAGGTGAAGACAGGTGCAAGTGACACCCGATGTAAGGTAAGATTCTGAACACCTAAAACTGACACAGAATCTGTCTTCCCATTGTCACTGACAAGAGAAACGAGACCTAGCTGTTGGCTTCAAAGAATTATGTAACACTATTAAAGCTCAAAGGACTCTGAGTACCCTTCTTCCCCAAGCTTTTCCAGAGACAAGCATTACTAAAAACACAGTCCTCCATGGTATAAATAACCCTTACGTGGTGCAAAGCTCTTTCAAATATTGATATTTTACTTCATTAAAAGCCCAAGGATGCAGTCCAAGAAGTCTGACTCTGAAATCCTGGCAAAGTCAACTTGATCTATTTGGTCCTCTGTTTCCTTGATAAATAACCAGGCCTGATAATTCTGATGAAGATGCTAATTAATAATCCTCATCTTTAAGACTAAATGTTTTACAAGCATATATTCATGGAACCTTCACTCACTTCTCCTACACTCATCTTATAGCACAGGAAACCGAGGCACGGAGGGGCTAAGGAACTTGCCCCTGGTCCTAGACCAAGGACACTACACCGACCTGCTGGATCCAGGTCAGTCCTAAGACGCAATGACTTTCGTGCAAACTGAGGCTGAATGCTGAGGATGAAGTCTTCCTACAATGCTCCTCAACGAAACAGGTGATCAACATTCAAGAAGAAGAAGAAAAGATGTTTCCCTAAAGACAAAAAGCATTTCTAAAATCCTTTTAGGATTACTGGTTCAAGATGTGGTTAAATTTCACAAGAAGAACAACGCAACATCTCTTCACAGAAAGGAGCCAGAAGGGAGCATCCCTCTGAGAATCATCAAGTGCTGTCAGGCGCTTTTTTCTCTGTCGATTACATATTCTCTTCCAGGGAAGCGAATCCGGACTGGAAATGCCGTGCCATTAAGATCACCTCCCAGTTCGAGGTGCTATGACATTAAATTTTACTGGAATAAACTGTAATTGTTTTGTGAACCAGAGAAAGGAGTTACTGCTTGGTGTTAATTCAGGTCAGGTATAAGACAGGGTTCCTTCTAGTACTGTCATAACTTTTAAAGGAGTACAAATTTGTAACTCATGGCTATACTCTAAACCATACATCACATGATAAATTTAGAAACCACCTAGGATAAATGCTTAGAGAGGTTCTTGAAGGCAGGAACCTTTATCTTCCTGCATCTTTGCATCCTATACTACACACAGCATGAAACCTGCATTTAAGCGTTTCCTGGAGATTATCAACACTGGTAAAATATCACAACTCAAACAACGAAGGTGGCAAAACAAGGAGATTCCGAAATGAATTTGCAAATGCTCTGGGTGTTGGCCAAGGGCCTTTCGCTTTCATAAGAAAATACAGAAAACCACCAGGAATTTTCTGCCTTCCTCATCCTAAACAGCTGAATCATTCACCTACTCAACCGCCCAGAATTCTTCCAAGAACTGTCAGTGCAGGCTCTGCTTTTTGGGAAGTCCGAATTTAAGGCCTTCCCTAGAAGGGGGCAGAATTAAGTGGAAATGAACGGGATTTCCAAGAGACGCAGACTTCGAGGAGCTGCGTGATCCCTAGATCAACCGGAGACCCTAGCTATCTCATTAATCTCTGCCGAAGTAATGGCACCGGGTGGAGAGCACGTCCTCACTCACCCCACGGCTATTACCCGTGTGCTTGGCGCAAGGCGCGCGGGCACAGGGCGGCGGACTGCGGGCCGGGCGCCCGAGCCGGGGTCTGGGGCCCGCCTCTCCCCGAGCCTCACGCCCACGCGGGGCTCCCGAGAGGGGCGGGCAGACTCCAGGCGAAAGAACAAACAGGTGTGGCCGCCGCGGGGTCATGCACACTCGTGCTCGGCCAGTGGGACCCGGGACTTGCCACCCGCCCGGCGGGGTGGGGGGGGGGGGGGTAGGTGGGCCCCCTCCGATGGTCGTAGAAGATCTCGTAAGGGCATGTGGGGGACCCTGGGGTCGTCCTGAAGGGTTCTAGTGGGCGAGTGGGGGGCCCTCCGGATATTCTAGGGGGCCCCTGGAGGGAAGGTGGGGGACTCCGGGGATTCTAGGGGCTCCCTGGAAGCAAGGTGGGGGGCTCCGGGGATTCTAGGGGTCCCTGGAGGCAAGGCGGGGAGCTCCGTGGGTCCTAGGGCCATCCCTGGAAGGGTTTTTGGGTTTCGGGGATCCCTGGTGGGTGCGGGGGGGGGTGCTCCGGGGATTCTAGGAGCCCCTGGAGGCAAGGTGGGAGGCTTTGGGGAATCCTAGGGGATCCCTGGAGGGCGTGAGGGGTCCTGCGGCGTTCTGGGGGCCCCAGGGGGAGCCGGGGAGACTAGGGGAATTTCTGGAGGGTGTGTGGGGATTAGAGGGTCCCCGGGGCGCTCTGGGGGCCGCCAGGCCGGGACGGAAACCCTCCCCGGGGCACGCGCGGTCAGGCGCTCACCCAAACAGCCCTCGGAGGAAGGAGTGAGAGGCCTTGACTCGCTTCTCGGCTTCGGCCATCAGCTGCACCGCCTCTCTCTCCTTCCCCGCGTTGTCCATGTCGCCGGCCTCGCTCCCCGCCACAAGCTCCTCAGCAGGCCGGACTTGCCGCCCGCACCTCCTAGCCCTCTCGCAGCGGCCTGGCGCAGAGGCGCGGCGCGCGACCTCTTGGGAGTTGTAGTCCAGGCGGTGCCACGGCCGTCCTCTCGCAGCGGCTGGGCGCAGAGGCGCGGCGCGCGGCCTGTCGGGAGTTGTAGTCCGCGCTCTGTCCGCGGGAGCCCGCGAGGCGTCCGCTCTCGTTTCCTGAAGGGCGCACAGCCGGCGGGCAGCTGGAGCTTGGAGGCGGGTGCCTGACTCTCTCTTTAGCACCTTCGGACCAGGAGAGCGTTTGGCATTTAAAGATGCGGGAGATGGAAAAGGGCCCGCGGCTTCCAGGGAAGACGGCCTGAAACGGCAGTATCCCCTTACATCAGGAGTCCCTGCCCAGCACGACCGACCGTGGCCAGGGGTTGGTCGGGGGCGCAGGATAACGGAGCGGGTGAGGACACCTCGGATGCCCGGGTACCAGCAGGAAAGCTCGACCGCACGCGAACTCCACGAGAGATGCAGGACGGCCGCGGGAAACAGGGGCCCTAACCCTGCGAGGGTCACGCGCTCACCGCTCAGCTCCAGGGAGGACCCAGTTTATCTGGAGAGCCAGGCAGTTAAGAAGGAAGCACTTGCCCCAAGACAAATTCAGAGTTGGTTTTCGGTCTCCATGTGAATGTCTGTCTTCTTCCTTGGTTACCGAAGACTTCCATATATAGGGTCTGTGCATAATCCTCTATTGACTGGATTCTTTTCAGTGGACACAAGCCATTGAGCTCTCTTATTCTTGACATAATGCTGGCCACAGTGTGGAGTGGATCTCTTAGGACACAGCTCTGCCTGCCAGGACGACCTTTATTCTCCTAGGAGAACTATTCACAGACAGACGCTCTGCAGTGCCAGTGATTTCCTGGCCTGTCCCAGAGGGAGTTATTCTGTAATGCAAAGTCTAGACCATTTATATTTGGTAATACTACAGCAGGGGTGGTGATGCAATTATGATAGTCACTGCCAAAGGAGAACTTGTGACAGCTTCAAACTATTGATACATACACTGTGGGCACTGGCACACAAAATACATCTAAGAAAATGAAACCTGTCTTGACAGAGCAAGGCAAACGGGGTCAAACTCGTAGAAAGAAAGGTCACTAAAGCATATGTCACAGAGTTCCTACAGTGCAGGCACTTCAGAGGCGGAAGGAAACCTTAGATTCTCAGGTGGAGTTTATATAATTTCACTACATCCATTATTCTGACTTCCAAAAGCTAATTTGGAGCAGGATTGGGAAAGGAGGCAGGAAATTAGAGGCAGTACTCAATGTGGAGTAAAGAGAAAAACTGCAAAAAGTGGGCATGAGCATCTGAGAAGCAGAGCAGCCTCTGTGGATTTGGTGGCGGGACCAACCCAGAAGCTCCAAGGGCAACATCAGCATGTTGATTAAAGCAGTTCCCAAAGGATATTCAAGAAATACCAATCTCTAACCCCCTAGCTCTCTGTGTCAGCATCTCCTGAAGCTAGAGTCTAGGAAATGTGTGTTTAAGAAACATGTAGGAAATGGACTGGTAGACATGGAGTGGTGAGGAGTGGGATGAACTGTGAGATTGGGATTGATGTATGTGCACTGCTGTGTGTAAAACAGGTAGCAGGAAGCTGCTGTATAACCCAAGGAGCTCAGCTTGGGGCTCTATGATGGCCTAGATGGATGGGATGCCGCGGGTGGGAGGGAGACCCAAGAGCGAGGGGATATATGTGTACATCTAGCTCATTCACTTTGCTGTAGGGCAGAAACTGACACAACATTGTAGAACAACTATATGCCTATAAAAAAAGAAAGAACACTACTATCCTAGAGCATCCAGTTCATGCACCGAATGTAACATATCAGTACACCATTGTGGCATATTTGAGTTTTGTCACATTTGGCTGTTACCAAATACTCAAGTCCACCCCAAGATGCAAGAAAGGCTTTCCTAGAAGCAGTCACATGGACCTGGCTGCTCTAGGATTTGGGTCTCTTCCCGTCCATGCTCTGCACAGGTGACAGGATCAGGAAACGTGTGACGCTTGTTGCCCACGAATTCCATACTTGCCGCTCTGCCTACTCCCTAACATCTGTTTGTAACCAAATCAATACCAGGGTACTTTTGCAGTCATTTGTGGACATGGGCAGAGCAGGAGACCTTGACATGCCCGATGCTCATGAGGACAAGACCATGCTGCTCTCTTGTTACAAATCAATGTCCTTCTCATTGTCTATTTAGTGCCATGTTTTCCCCCACTTTGTACTTTCTGTTGGTGATTTCACTCTTTAAACTATTCCCCAAGCCCCATGCCGAAGTGCTGTGTAGTATCTTCAGGGGAGAAGGCTGGACTGTGCCCTCCAGAGAAAACACATGTGTTGGATGAGCTCCATTCAGGCATGAGTTGTGGGGTTGTGGGCTGTAAGTTCATGTTAACAAGTCACCGAGATGTCAAATCAAACGAAATATGTTGTGTGCAAGAAGGTTACATAGTGATGGGTGACCAACATGGGAAGCAAACCTGAATTTCCCTGGGGTTTAAAAGGTGGGGCAGGGTGATGGTTCAGTCTTTGTTAATTCAGGATCTCTACTGACTTTACAGAACTACCTCTAATGGTGAGAACTGACCACTTTGGGAGGGTGTCTGGTAGACAATGAAGTCAGATCAGGGAATCTCTCTTCCCATTCCCCAAAAGAAATGGACAAAAATAAAAAATCTAGCAACTCTTCCCAAGAAGGAAAGCAGGGAAATCTCTCCATGTCAGACCACCTTGCCCCCAGCCCCACTCACCAGATGCCTCGTGGTGCTATCTGCTTTGTGGTTCTGACCTACATGGACTGCATCCATGGGGCTGTGACCTCTGACTTCCTGTTGCGTTTGGCCAAAAGATGCCCAGCCAGAGGTGGAGGGCAGAAGATAAGAAACATCATGGCAGTTTTCCTTGGTCTCCTGGTCAGATGACCATCTGAGGCTCCCTTCATCCTGCAGGAAGTGATAGTCCTGTGCCCTGGGCTCCTTCGCCCACAGCATTGCAGGTACCCGCATAACTAGTGTGTCCTGCAGGGACCCAGATAGACATGCTCCCCGGGTCGTTGTCTGAAGCCCATATAAGCTTGAAACCCAGAACAGAAAAGGTCAGTGTGAGAAAGGACAATTTGGAGCCAGTCTCACTTATGAACATGGGTACAAAAATTCTAAACAAACATTAGTAAACACACCATGCACAAAAGAAGAAAATCTTGATAGTTATGGACATAAATATGAAATGCTAAACTTCAAGAAGTTTTAAGTGAAAATAGAGGAAAATAGCTTTATGACCTTAATTTCCTAAATAGACATCAGAACTGCAAACGGTAAGAGAAAAAGTTGATACATTCACTCCATCAAGGATTTCTCTATAGCTCAAACGGGAAAGAATCTGCCTGCAATGCAGGAGACCAGGGTTTGATCCCTGGGTCGGGAAGACCCTCTGGAGAAGGGAATGGCAATCCATTCCAGTATTCTTTACTGGAGAATCCCATGGACAGAGAAGCGTGGCTGGCTACAGTCTGTGGGGTCACAAAGAGTCGGACACGACTGAGCGACTAACACACACACACATCATTAACAGTAAAGATGTATTTTTACCAACTTAGCATAGCTCAAACAGAAAGAGGAAACCACAACCCAGAAAAGGATATTTGCAGCACACCTACCCGCAAATCATTATTATTAAGGATAAAGAAATTCTACAAATCAGTGGAAGACCGACAACCAAATAGAAAACACGGGCAAAGGGCTTGAAGACCTGAAGGTTACAGCCACAAAGTCTGGATCCTCTTCAGCTTTTGCTGCTGTTTGCCTGGGGAGAATGGAGGTATGTTCACAGAAAACCAGGCGAAGGCAGCCAGTGGCCTTAGGGGCCTGGGTGCCCTTTCTTTGTTTTCAGGATGGGTCTTGACCACTATTTAAGCGACATAGCCTGCTTTGTTGGTGTTGTTCAGTGGCTAAGTCATGTCCGACTCTTTGTGACCCTGTGAACTGCAGCACGCCAGGCTTCCCTGTCCTTCACTATAGCCTGCTTAGGAGCTGATAAACCAAAATCACAGGATTATGGACGCCAGCCATCTGTAGAAAGGTTGCATGAGGACAATGGCATGTGAAAAACCCACCACCCCAGGCAGAAGTCCCATGGAGGCAAAACGCCTGGCCCTGTGACCTCTGACCTCCTGAGCCCCTCAGTGTCTTAGGTGTCTTAGTCAGGAAAGAGCAAAAGTCCCCTGGGCCTTTCAGGGCAGTGCCTTGTCACCACTGTCACTCTGCTGTTGGCCTGCACATGGGGGACCAGCAAGCCTCTAGCCAGCATCAGCCACGTCCTTCTGCCTCAGCCCAGGGACCAGGGCAGCCGCTGCCAGCCGGCAGTGCCTTCTATAGCCTCCATTGGGAGCATTCTGGGCAGGCATTCATCCACCCCAGGCTGCTCCTTGCTGGGCTTTCTTTGAAGGGCTTCTGGCAGCAGGATGAACCGCGAATCGATTGGCTTCCTGCCTGGGTTCTATCCAGGTCAGCAGCCAGGCCAGAGCAGAACTGTTCAGAGGACAAGGAGGAGCTTGTCAAACACAAACCAAACAAGAAGATGGTGGAAAGCAGAACCCAGAGGGGGCGAGCCTTTTGTTCGGAGGAGCTCATTTGTTCCCCCAAAGTGAGGAGGGGAGGCTCAGGAGTGCCGGGGTCCAGCCTCAGCAGGATCCAGGGGGCACCCTCAGGATGAACAGCGTCAGCGAGAGAGAAAGAAGACACGTGAGACCAGCCTTGATAGGGCCAAGTCTGCGAGGGAGAGAGAGAGAGACAGAGAGAGAGAGTGACCAGACGGGGGGTGCAGCAGAGTCTGGCAGAGTCTAGCAATCCTTTATTTTTTACCATAGCTTTTATACCCTAAGTTAGTACATTTCTAAGGGGAAGATAGTTTAAC